GAAAATAAACTAATGTGTCCATTTGGTTTGGAGTATAAGAAGATACATGCATGTCCTAATGATTGTGTTCTGTATCGAAATGAATAAGAAGAGTTGGAGGAGTGTCCACGTTGCGGTAAGTTGCGTTACAAGCGATCAAGCAGCCATGCTGGTATTAAAGGACCTCCTGCCAAGGTGTTGTGGTATCTTCCTATTATTCCAAGGTTAAAGTGTCTATTTTTAATACCAAAAGACGCTAAGAACCTGAGATGGCATGCTGAGGGAAGAAAGAAAAATGGTTTTTTGAAGCATCCTGCTGACTCTCCACAATGGAAGAACATCGATATGAAGTTTAGGGCATTTGATGCTGAAGTCAGAATTTAAGGCTTGGGTTGTGCACGGACGGTATGAATCCATTTGGCATTCTTAGTACTAAACATAGCACATGGCCGGTACTTTTAGTTATTTACAACTTACCTCCGTGGTTGTTTATGAAACGGAAATGTATAATGCTTTCACTTTTGATAACAGGGCCAAGGCAACCTGGAAACGATATTGATGTTTACCTTGAGCCCCTTATTGATGATTTGAGAAAGATGTGGGACGAAGGTGTTACCGTTTATGATGCCCATACGAACGAGATGTTTCTTTTCCATGCTGCCCTTATGTGGACCATCAATGATTTTCCCGCATATGGCAATCTGTCTGGGTATAAGAACAAAGGGCATAAAGCATGTCCCATTTGTATTGACGACACACCGAACCTGTACCTTGAGCATTATGGCAAAGATGTGTACGTGAGGACCCAAAGATTTCTTAGGCGCGATCACCCGTATCGTAAGTAGAAAAAGTCCTTCGATGGGAAAGTTGAGGAGAGGGTTGCGCCTAGGCCATTGAGTGGGAAGGAGGTTTTTGCAAGAGTGAAGGGTATTCCATATGTTTTTGGTAAAACAACGAAACCAATTGACCCACATGCTCTCTTTAAAAAGGAATCAATCTTTTGGAAGCTTGAGTACTGGAAAGAACATGATGTTAGACATTGTCTCGATGTGATGCATATAGAGAAGAATGTTTGTGATGCAATTATTGGGACAATTATGAATATTCCTGGAAAAACGAAGGATAGAAAGGGTGCGCAATAGATTTGGAAACGTGGGGTGTTCGTCCGGAGTTGTGGGTTCAAGCTAAGGTAGGGATGGCGAAGGTTAAGTAAAAGGGAAACGAAGATGGTGGTAAAAACCATAAGGAGAAGCGCAAGGAAAAGGCCACGGGTATCGCAAAGAAGAAAGGTGATGGAAAAGGTAAGAACCAAAAGGTGTATTTACCTCCAGCTTGCTACACATTATCAAAGGAAGAAAAACGAAGGTTTTGTGCTTGTTTGTATGACATTAAGCTTCCATCTGGGTTCTCGTCAAACATGAAAAGGTTTGTTTCCTTAAATGGAGAATTGAAGTTGACAAGTATGAAATCCCATGATTGTCACATGATGATGCAAGTATTCCTACCAATTGCAATTCGTGGTATTTTACCAAAGCACGTGAGAGAATTTATTACAAGCCTCTGTAAGTTTTTCAATACTATTTGCAGCAAAGCTCTTGATCCCTTTACACTTGATGCTCTCCAGGCGAATGTTGTGGTAACTTTGTGCAAATTTGAGATGTTTTTCCCACCTTCACTTTTTGATATAATGGTGCATTTGATTCTGCATTTGGTTCATGAGATTAAGTTGTGCGGTCCAGTATTTATGAGGTGGTGCTACCCTTTTGAACGACACATGGGTACACTGCAAGATAAAGTAAGAAATCCAGCCTATCCGGAAGGTAGTATGATACAAGGAATTGTGTCCGAGGAGATTGGGAATTTCGTGGCAAAGTATGTTGTCGTGGCCTATTGGGCTACCCACTTCCCGACATGAAGGGAGACTTGATGGTCATGGCACAACCGGGTCAAAAAGGATTTGGGCTGCTCGAGATCAAATCATGCAAGCTCACCTATTTGTGCTTCATCATATTGCGGAGGTTCACCCATATTTAGAAGAGCACATGGATAGTTTGCGTGTTGAATATCCATCAAAAGGGGAAAGATCACTAATGCAGTTGCATAATAAGATGTTTGTGAAGTGGTTCCATGGTCGTGTGATGCGTCAATTGGATGAGACTGTGTTTGATACAATAAAGTGGCTAGCTTATGGTCCAAAGGAAGATGTTCATTCATTTGAGGGATATGACATAAATGGGTACACATTTGGACTGAAAGTCGGGATCAGAAATCCTCATCGACTCAAAATAGTGGTGTCACTCTTGTGGCTTCATCAAGAGAGTTTGCAAGTGTGAAGGATACATCATCAGTTGATGCACTATTATCATACTATGGACGAATTCAGGAAATATGGGAACTAGATTACCGTGACTTCAAGGTTGGTCTATTCAAGTGTAAATGGGTCGATAATAATAGGCGCAACGTGAGAAATGATGACTTCACTCTTGTAGATCTTGGCCACTTGCGGGATAGTCTTGAACCATTCATCCTTGCATCTCAAGCTAAGCAAGTGTTCTATGTAACTAACCTGTCCGATCCAAAATGGTCCATCGTCCTTGCTGGCAAAAGGAGAATTTTAGGGGTTGGAGAGGTTGAGGACGAGGAAGAATATGATGCATTTAATGATTCTCCCCCTTTCACTGCTCCTACACTTGATGTAGCAACTGATGTAGATGATGATGCTACTTATATTCGATCTGACCACAATGAGAGAATACACGAATGAGGTACATTTATTGATGCATGTTTTATTTACTAAATATCTTATGCTCAGACAACCTTATTTATTTCAGGAAGTGTTTTATTTTTTTGCATTTTCAACGTATAAGCATGTAATATGAACTAAATAAATGAATTGTTAAGAGGATTATATGTGAATTTGTTATGAAACCAAAGAAGTTGGGTAAGTGTTTGTCTTTCTTCGTGCCTCAGATTTGATTGCCATTACTAATGACTAAGAACATGCTTTGCTTGTTTACTGTAGGTGAGCACATATCATGGATCCTAATGAGAAACTTCATTCTGATGAGGATATGGATGATGATGATGATGACGAGTTATATGATGTTAATAAGGAGACGGATATGGGGGAACCGGAAGACCAAGCTTATGACGAGTTCCAACATAAGCTTGATGAAAATGAGTGTATAGCTGAAACTGCCCCACCTATTGAGGATAATGTGGTTTCCGAGGTTGTAGGTGATTCACATTGTGAAACTCAAATGCAAATCTAAGTGAAAACGACCGGTGGTGGAGGAGGGGTAAAGCCACCGGTGAATAGAAGGAGTAAGGGTGCAACAAAAGCTTTCAAGAAAACCGGCGCTCCTATGGTGCTTGAGTATGATGAGTTAGGTCAACCTACTGGTCAATGGCGCGACAAATTTTCTAGTCAAGTTGGCATTCTAATTCGTAAAATACCAATCACACTTGAGTTCGTCGATATACCTCACGGGTTGCTTCAAACATTTTGGGATGATACAATGGTAAGTATGATTAATATATTATTAATTAATACCAATCACATTATTATTATTAATTAATATATATGTAGGGAAAAAAAATTTAAAAAAATTGCAAAAACAACCCCCGAGTCTAACCCGAGGGCTGCAGCGGGCAGCAGCCTAGGCAGCATCCTGGTCTGCTGCAGCTGCTTGGGCTGCTGCCTGGGTGCTGCAGCTGCCTAGGCAGTGCTGCCTGGGTGCTGCAGCTGCCTAGGCAGTGCTGCCTGGGTGCTGCAGCTACCTGGGCTGTTGTAGCTGCCTGGGCAGGAGCATGAGTTGCTGCCTGGGTGCCACAGCTGCCTGGGCAGCAGCCTAGGCTACTGTAGCTGCCTGGGCTGCTGCAGCTCCCTGGGTTGATGCAGCGGTGCTGCTCCGATTCTCGGGTTTTTTTTTTCCTATTTTTTCTTTTTTTTTTCTCTTGCCTAACGTGGATGTTTGCGCCAATTACAGAGTATGTTCCATATTCCTGATGAGCCAGCCAAGAGAAAAGTCTTTGAAGCTTTTGTACAAGAGAGATTCAAAAACATCAAGAGTTACTTAAGGACGAGATGGATCCATAAGAAAAGAAGGAGAAGACCAAAGAAAAATGTGACTGCTGATGAAGAAGAGGAGAAACAGGATAAGAAACTGTGGGATTTATATCCACAAATAACGGTCAAGGACTGGGAGAAGTTTGTGGAAAAATCTTCCACTAGGACCGCAGTTGTATGGTTTATTTATCAATAGAGTCGGCTATTGATATTAGTTTCTTACAAAGACTGATGCTAACATATATTTCTGAATGTGTAGGAAAAAAGCGAACAAGCTAGAATGAATGCCGGGAAGAAATTGTATAGCCATCATATGAGTTGTAAGACATTTGCGGAGTCTAGACCAAAGTGGATCAAAGCGGGTCTATACCCCAAATCCATAATGTCATCATCTGATAAACCACTTTCTTCCACGGTCACAACTTTGGTTAATCGTGCAATTTATTGGTGGTGTGCTATGCATGGGATCGACAAGAAAACCGGCAAGTATGTCATGCCACTGGATAAGAAAGTAGTAGCAGATGCACTTGTAAGCAAACTTTACTACTTATTAATTATATTTTCTTGTTAAGTACATCGTACTTAGAACCGATAACTTTTTGTTTTGTTACAGCTCAAGCATACTTCGGAAGTGATTGAAGGCAAGCTGACTCCGAGCATCGAAAATGATCCTTTTACCTTAGCTTTGGGAAAACCATACCACCCTGGGTGAGTAATTGGTTTTGGCGATAAACAACTAGGGTGGTTGAAGGTGATGGGTTCAGAATACACCAAATAAGGAAAAAGCAGATCAAGTGTTAATTCGCCACATCGTATTGATGAGAAGGAAAAGGAATCAATTAAGGCGGAAATACGCGCGGAGCTGCAAGAGCAGATGCAAAGTCAATTCAATGCCATTCTGAAGCACATGAACTTGCCGCTTTTGCCATTTTCCTCGAGTACCCCAGTAGACTCATGTAGTCACCCAGGAGGCCCCGAGGACGATCCAGTAGTTGAGAGAGAGGTAATTTTAGTAAAAGGACGAATTACGTCATATGAAGTTCGTCAAATGAGGTTGTTTGCATGTTTAATTATTTTACTTTTGCAGGATCCTAGTCCTATGGATGCAGAGTCATTGAAGAGAGAAAATTCGATGCCTGAACCTTTCCCAGATGTTAAGGTAAACTTCACTACGTAATCAGCTTTTCTTATGTTAGGCTTTCGTTTGTTATTTCATAACTTATGTCCTAACTCCTAATCAAATATGTAGGAAGAGACGCCTTGTGAGCTTCTTCACCCCGGGGAAAACACTGGTGGACAGTTGCAGTTGGTGGGGTATGGTAGTGCACAACCTTTTGACAAGGTCCATTTTAAGTCTAATATTAGCACCCATTACATCTCGGTCGGGATCGATTCTATAGTTGTTGGGTTTGAGGACTTACCACTACCGGAGCCTAAAGAGGAATATGATTTTTTTTAAGCTGCGTGACACGACCGGTAGCTTTGTGCAATGGCCACGTGATTAGTTGAGGTTGGTAGGAGGGGTAAGTAAACACTAATTGTATGTAACTACTTGTATGTAACTAGATTAACATGTTATTTGTGCAATGACCATGTTCTTTTATGTTACTAGATTACTATGGAAAATCAGTCCGCTAAAAGGAAGAAGGTGGAGAAGCCAAAATCCAAGGAAGAAGGTCCTCCGAACATGGAACAAGGACAAGTGTCGAAGAAGAGTTCGAGAGCTTCATGTACTCCACTGGTAGAAACCAATGTCCTTAAGTCGCTTTCGAAAGCATGTACTTTTCTTCACAACCGTGTTAGTGAGTTGTCTACGGGTACACATATTCAAGTGAACTTGCCTAAGGCATTATTCCACTATGATGAGGATGCGATCACATATATTTCTAGAGAGGATGTGACAGAATTTCTAACCGGTTCCATGCTTAACATTTCCATCATTCAAACTTTCATGAGGTAAATTAACGAGACTATCTCTAAACATATTGTATTTTTGATATTTTCGTACCAAAACAATGCAACTAGTAATTACTTGCACACATTACTTTCTTGAAGGTCACTACAGGAGCTCCTAAGTAGTAAACCCGATGGTGAAGCAGCAGCTGGGTGGTTATGCCCCGAGCAGACCTCCGTAACCAATTCTTGCATAACCCTCGTGATGTGATAGATTACCTTGAGCGGGGTATTAGAGAATCAATGTGTGCGGGAAACAAGTTCATATTAGCCCCTTGCTTTGAGAAGTAAGTTTAAATATGTCACTCTTAATTTGTTTGCTAAGTATAGATGTTGACGTATAACAATTAATGGATTGATATTTGCTTTAATATATATGTATTCTACATTAGAGCCTTATGGTGATTTGTGTTTCCAATAACACAATCTACCACTTTGACTCGGCTCGTATATGGATACTAAGGAAGTTGCTAGTGAATAACCTATTTAATAGGTACATACCGCTTCCTATATATTGCTTTGTATCATCACCTAAGTCATTGGTTGGCTATGTTCCTAAATTTATGCTTTTTTTTTTTTTGAAGTGTTATGAAGAGGTTGAATTGTCGTTCGGTTGCGGGTCCTACGTGGAAATATTTGAAGGTAAAGCCTTGATATATTGATTTATTTAATAAAATTACCTTGAGTTATGGCTATGAATGACTAGTTTAACTTTGTGTCATGTTAGTGTGCGCAACAAGACAACGGCGTTGATTGTGCCCTGTACGTGATGAGGTTTATGCATGACATAGTCAATAGGTGCACTGAAGCCCAACACATTGAAGAGGTACCTGTTTTACTTTTTTTGGTTCGATTTTGGATAAAGGCCGTCCTAAAACTAAGTAGAATGCTAATTTGCTATGATTTCAAACATTAGACACCTAAGACTAGTTCTAATTGACATGTTATGATAAAGAAATAGCTCATTAGATAAGAAATGTAGAAATCGGGCAAAGTAGTAGTGAAATAGGCGATTTTGGGTAAAAGCTGTCCAAATACTTAGTAAAATGATTTTTTAATATGATTACAAACATTAGAAACCAAAGACTAGATAATAATGACATGTCATGACAAAGAAATAGTTCATTAGATAAGAAATGTAGAAATAGGGCAAAGTAGAAGTGAAACAAGCGATTTTGGGTAAAAGCAATCCTAAAACTTAGTAGAATGCTAATTTGCTATGATTTCAAATATTAGACACCTAAAACTAGTTATAATTGACATGTTATGATAAAGAAATAGTTCATTAGGTAAGAAAAGTATAAATCGGGCAAAGTAGAAGTCAAACAGGCGATTTTGGGTAAAAGCCGTCCTAAAACTTAGTAGAATGCTAATTTGCTATGATTTCAAACATTAGACACCTAAGAATAGTTATAATTGACATGTTATGATAAAGAAATAGGTCATTAGGTAAAAAATGTATAAATCGGGAAAAGTAGAAGTCAAACAGGAAATTTTGGGTAAAAGCCTTCCTAAAACTTAGTAAAATGCTAATTTGCTATGATTTCAAAACATTAGACACCTAAGACTAGTTGTAATTGACATGTTATGATAAATAAATAGCTCATTAGATAAGAAATGTATAAATCGGGCAAAGTAGTAGTGAAATAGGCGATTTTGGATAAAAGTCGTCCAAATACTTAGTAAAACCTTCTTTTGATGCGATTACAAACCTTAGACACCCAAGACTAGTCAATATGGGTCTTCTCTGAGAACAAATTAGGTCATTTGAACAAAATGCAGAAAATGGGAAAGTGAGCACCCGAGGCAACTACAGCACCCGAGGCAACAGCCTCGGGTTATGTAAGGCAACTGCAAGCAGCCACCACGCAACTGCCCAGACAACTACAGCAGCTGCCAGGCAACAGCCCAGGCAGCCGCAGCAGCAGCCTAGGTAGCTGCGCAGGCAGCCGCAACAACCACCAGGCAGTTGTAGTAGCAGCCAGGCCACTACACAGGCCTACAGCAGCTAGCTGCACAGGCCGCTGCAGCAGCACCCTAGGCAGCTGCACCAGCCACCAGGCTGCTACCAAGGCAGCTGCTGCAGCAGCCGTGAAAGCAACCGAGCAGCTGCATCATCCATGGGAAGGATCCCGCAGATTAAATTTTTGGCCTTGTAATTGGCACCTCATGCAATTTTGTGTAATTTTTGCGTACTTGTTAGTGAATAAGTAAATAAGTCACTTACGCCGATTTTTGTTAAAAATCGTACTAAAACTTAGTTGGGTGGTCATTTGATGTGATATCATAAATTACATGCCTAAGACTAGGTAATATGGGCATGGTTTTAGAAAAAAAAGTTCAAACGAAATAAAATGTAAAATGGGCAAGTAGAAGTGGAATAGGCGATTTTGGGTAAAAGTCGTCCTAAAACTTAGTAAAATGATCTTTTGCTATGATTTCAAACAATAGACACCTAAGACTATTTAATAATGATAAGTTATGACAAATAAATAGTTCATTAAATAAGAAATGTAAATAATGGGCAAGTAGAAGTGGAATAGACAATTTTGGGTAAAAGCTGCCTTAACACTTAGTAAAATGGTAATTTGCTATGGTTTCAAACATTAGACACCTAAGACTAGTTAATATTGACATGTTATGATAAAGAAATAGTTCATTAGATAAGAAATGTAGAATTCGGGCAAAGTAGAAGTCATACAAGGCTTATTTGGGAGATTTTGGATAACCACCGTCCTATAAATTACAAAACCCTCTTTTGATGTGATTTCAAACCTTAGACACCTAATTAATACAGTGATGTAATATGAATATGAATGATGTTTAATGTTTGGTATTTTTGAAATATTTAATATATCAAAACAGGTCACTAATATGAATGATGTTTGAAATATTTAACATATACAGTATTATTTAATAATTAGTTTGAATTTTATGTAATATATGAATGATGTTTAATGTTTGGTATTTTTTTTTCCAAAGGTTTGTAAGATTCAAAGGGAAGTCCCTTTAACAAGGGAAGAAGTTGATGAAATTCGCGACATGTGGGCTTTTTTTGTGACATTTGATGGCGTCTAGGTAGAATATATAATATATATGTGTTAGTTAGATAATGAGATTGAGTTTTTTTATTATGAACAATTAATATTTAGTTACTATCTTTTTTATTTTTTTTTTAAATATGTACATTATATTACTTATTTGTAATTAGTACTATATATTATTTATGAGTTTTATATATGTTATTATTATTATGCATTTTATTGTTATTGAATTATTATTCTTAAATTTGTAATATTTTAAATTAATTATTATTAATTATTAATATTAATTAATAATAATATTAATAATAATAATAATTTTTAAAATTACAGATTAATGTGCATATCAAAACAGGTCACTAATTATATTATTATTATTAATTAATATATAAAAAAAAATTAACAAATGGCAAGCGGTTTTGGCGCCAAACCGCTTCCCTTTCCCCCCTAATGGGAAGCGGTTCTGAATCGCTTTCCATTTACATGGATATTGGCAAGCCCCCTAAACCCATGCGGTTTAGAACCGCTTCCCATTAGGGGGTTTGAACCGCTTCCCATTACGTATTTTCTACTAGTGTTTATAGGGAGAAGCAACCTAAGAACTATAAGAAAGGTGAAAGGGATATAGGTTCAACTAGAGGTGTGACGGTTCGAGCTACAAAAGATACACTAATGGTGAAGGCCGACTTAGTAGAAAAAGAGAAGGAGGTCCTATAAGTAAAGAAGGATTAGACCAATATTGCTTTGGTTTCATGATTTAAGTTTTAATTTTAAAATAAGGCGCATGATGCTAACAATCGTAGTCATATTACTTCAATAATAATAGCATATTTATTTTTGCCTTAAATTAAAATTACAATGACTTTTTTTTCGTCCGAGTCAAGAAGTCGGATGGAATGGAAGAATCAAACAAAGCAATTGAATAAAAAAATCCTGGAAAACCGCCGCGTCACGGCAAATATTATCTTGCCAAGGTAATTTTTGCTGCGTCACGATACTTTATACAGTGACATTGTACTGCTGCGGTGCATATTTTTTGCCGAAATTTTGCCGTGACGTGGCAATTATTGTCGTTGTGCGATGGATGTTACTGTGGCGCAGTGTATTCTGCCGTAACACGGTGGCCACCTGCCGCATGTTTTCTACCAAAATTTCTTCGTGTCACGTAATTTTCCGCCGTTTCACGGTGTTTTCTTGACGTGAAACGATGGCTGATGCTTTGCAATTTTCTTCCATATATGCTGTGAGTATGCTGGTGGAAGAAGGATGATTATTTTTTAAACAGGTCGGGCCCCCCTTTAGGGGCTGCCTACGTATCCTTAAAAAGAATCAGGCTAAACGTAGCTCTA